AGCCTGGTCGGTGAGCCCAGCCTGGCCCGGGCAGTGGCTGACCGGACAGCGGGCTACCCAGGCCAGCTTGGAGGTGCCAGTAGGCCTGGAGCCCAGCAGCCGCCCAGCACGGGGGCTCGCTGTGGACCCATGAGCCCCTGCAGCACCTCTGAACCAGCTCGGGTAGCCTGCTGCCTGGCCAGCTGCCGATCATGTGCGCTGGGCCAGGCTGCACTCGCTGACAGGGCTCAGCCTCCCTGTCAATGAGTCACAGCTGTCTGGGATGGCCCCACCCCCACCCCTGTGCCCTGGCCCCGCCATGTGGGGCTTTGTTAATGTCTGTCCCTTGCCATAGAGTTGTAACCTTAGGAGAAAATAGAATAGTGTACAACAAGCAGCTTGCACTTACACTGCAGACTTCAGGAACTTTGCTTACTTAGCTCTAGTTTTGAGTGCCACACTCGCACATTAAGATGCTAAGCTCTTCAATTGCAACTCTAGGACAGTGGATCTCAGTCTTTTTTAGATTAAAGGTGCCCCTCATTAGACTCAAGGCACCCCTTGGAAAATGCCAGTTCCTAGCTTTTACTTGTTTTTTTAACTATGAAAAAACCCCAGAGCAATTCTTCTGTTACAACGAACTCAGAAAGACCACAATAAGTGAGAAGTTTTTTGATGCTATAGATTCCTATTTGAAATCTCTGGGTTTATCTCATGAATCATGTATAGGTATTTGCACATCTAACAGTGCTAATGCTGGATGGCACCCTTAGAAGGATTGTGCAACAGCTCAGGGTTTAGAATCATTGCCCTAGGAATAAAGCCTAGGGTAAGTCACTGAACATTAACACAGTCTAATTTTTATTTGAAATGACTGAAGTTTCAGAAGACAATCAAATGTATAGAATTGAATGGTTCAGATTGGACTAATGGGATGTTTTTCCCCCTTACATACACTAAGCTTCAAAGCGTTGAATTGAATACATGCGGATTCCATTCCTAGTCCCCAAACTCATCCTCAGATTATGACAAAGTCTAGATGACCTATGAAAGAGGTGAATAGAGGTAAATAGACGGATTCAGGTGAAAATCTGAGAGATCTTTACATAGACATTTAGGGCAGTGCCAAAGGGGTCTATATCTTTACGAAATACAGCGGAGTGGAGAGCCCTGCCATCAAGCTTGAATTTCATTCACCCTCTTAGGAGAGGCCATGGTCACTATGAATACAATTTTAACAGAGAAGTAATTTTAACAAGTCACCAAACAGTCAGATATATTAAAGACAAAAGGGCAGTATCAAGAAGAACCTAAGGAGTTTATCAGAACTGTAGCAAAAACGTGAACTAGACTGCTTTAGAAAAAAGTAGAGGAAAAAGAGTTTAAAAATATAATGTAACCCCAAGCAGGACAATGAAATTTGAAGTTATGGACAGGGAAGCCCAAATTCTGTTACTGTTTGGTCAGTTCAAATGGCAGTTTTCCAGCATATGAATAACATTTTTGTTACGTATGTAGTTTTCAATTCTATTACCTGTGTAATGGGTATATGTAAGCATCTACATAGCTACTGCACATGCTCAGCAGGCTACATGCCATCTGGGCATATAAGCAGTGCCATACACATGTAAACTGGGTGTGCATACCTCACAGAATTCCCCCTGGAAAAAAACATGGCCATGGAGATTTGGAGGAGAATAAGGATTCTCCCATGTTTCAGCCCCAAAAGCTTTTGGCTTGCTGAGTGTTTGTCTGGTGGGCTGTGTGCATTTGAAGTGTGTGCTCTGAAAAGCTGGAAGTGTTGCTAGCTGAGTGATTGCTGGTTCCTGAGTGATTGCTGCCTGTGCCTGATAGAAGCCCCAATGAAGGGACGGCCGCAGTCCAGGCCCAACAAGGTATAAAAGGAGACTCCCTGAACGACCAGGGAGCCAGCAACCAGGGGCTGCAAACAGGGTAAGCAGTATGCAGCTCAATTTGCTGCCCTGACCCCTTTTGAGGGGAGAGCCTTTCAGCTTGGTGTGAGGAAGCAGGAAAGAAGGAACCCCATTGGGGCCAGTGAGCAGTAAACAAGCCAGCTTCCAGGCAAGTTCGCTAGGGAAAGTGTGCTTAGAAGAAGCGCAGTAAGAAAGAGAAGGCAGATCAAGAGATCCCCAGCCCCGCTACCCCCATAACCCTGCCAGTGCCCCTCGATCCCGACATACAGCCCCCTGCCCCCCGTAGCCACACTGCCCACACTGCTCCCACGTGCATATGCATACTTTCTCTGTCTTTCTGTGTCTCTCTTACCTGCAAGCCGCTTGCCGGAGCCTGTGCGCAGAGCATGTTATCCCCTGACAGCCAGTCACCTTGCCCCTCTCCTCCCGGCCCCAAGCAGCCAAGCTGGAAGTACCCATGAAAAGCCAGAGGCAGGGAAAAAACCCGGACATTTGCTCGCATTTTAAAAGCCCACCCAGACAAGATAGGGGGCCAAAAAAAATAAAAATAAAAAACCCAGATGTATGGTAACCCTAACATCACAATGCCAGAGCCACTGCCACTGCCTCTGCTTGCAGATATGCAGCCCTAGCAAGAGAGGGAGGAGCACATTCCATTGGCAGAGGAGGACAGAGGACAGGCCTCACCAAGGTGGGAAGGATCAAGACAACTGCCACCAAGAAGAAGCAATGGGTTGCAGGGGTTGGAGACTCCTTTCTGCAGAGAATGGAGGGAGTCATCTGTTGACCTGACCTGTTGTCTCAGGCAGTGTGCTGCTTGTCCAGAGCCTGGATCCAAGATGGCATGGAGGGATTACTGAGACTCATCTGGCCTTCTGACTACTACCCTATGCTGCTTATCCATGTGGGCACGAATGATACTGCCAGGGGAGACCCTGCATGGATCAAAAGTGACTACAGGACTCTGCGTGCAAAAGTGAAGGGACCCGGGACTCAGGTCATGTTCTCTTTGATTCTTCCAGTCAAGGAAAGAGGCCCGGGCTAGAGTAAGTGCATTCTGCAGATCAATACCTAGCTGTGCAAGTAGTGTTGCCAGCAGGGCTTTGGCTTCTTTGACCATGGGATGTTGTTCCAAGAAGGATTGCTAGCAAGACATGGGATCCACCCAACAAAGAGAGGGAAGAGCCCGCTCAGCTGCTGCCTTTGGATGGGAGGGGGAGAAGGCAGGGGAGGGAGGTCCCTTCTGGGGTTCTCAGCCCAGCAAGTGGGAGTGCAGGTAGACTGGAGCCCCTCACCTCAGAGCTCACCTTACACACACACACAGGCTGTCAAATGAGTAAAAAATTTGATTGTGATTAGTTGCATGATTAAAAAAATTAGTCGCAACTACTTGCAATTTTAATCACACAGCTAAAACTCAAAATGATGCACAGAAAAACTCAATTATGCAGGTACTTTGTATGGTTGGGGGTGAGGGTGGGTTTGGGGGTGGGGATTTGTGAAGGTATGGGGGGCTGTGGGTGTGTGTGGGGGGTTTGGAGCCTGGGGAGGTTGGGGCCCTGCAAGAGAGTCTGAAGCCCAGGGAGCGGGGGAGCCCCACATGCCCTGGCAGGATGCTGGGTACTGTGGGTCAGGAATGAGGGGCAGAAGCAAGGCTGGGGCGGGGGCTGTGGCTTGGGAGTGAGGGGCAGGGCACAGGCATATCACTGCCACCCCACAACCATATTATCCCCCACCCCCACAGGTGACCTCTTCTTTGAAACTGGGAATATGGTAACCCTACAGGAATGCAGCCCAACAGCATGTAGAGCAGCACCCAGCAGGTAAGTCTGTGAGGGGCAGGGGGGCAGATCTAGGCCCCCATGGTGGAGCAGGGACTGGGGCAGGGGCAAATGGGACCCCAGGGCTCAGTCATGGGACAGAGCCACGGGAGGCTCATCCAGGGGCATGTGGTGGGGGGCACTCCCTGCTGCTGCACGCACCCCCAGGGAAGACGTGGGGGGCATGCACTCCTCAGATTTGTGCACAAGGCAAAGGAGGGCTGCCCACTGCAGGCTGGGGCTCTGCACCCTGCTGCATTTGCCCTGTGAGCCACATGATGCCATATTGTGCCTCCCACCACTGGATGGGCAGGGACACATGGACAACTCACAGCTCTGTGGCAAAGGCAGGAGAGTGCAAAGCCCCAGCTCGCAGTGGGCAGCCCACTCTCCCCCATGAGTGTGTGCAGTGGTAGGGAGCTGCCTCCCCACCCCCGGGCCCCCTGGATGAGCCTCCCGTGGCTCCATCCCAAGACTTGCCCTGGCCCCAGGGTCCCATTCATCCCAGCCCCACTCACTCCCTCACCATGGGGGCCTCAATCTGTGCCTCTGACCCTTCCCTCTCCCTTCCCCACCCCTTTCCCTCCACAGATTTATCTGCTGGGTGCTGCTCTACACGCCACCAGGCTGCTTTCCTGGCCATGTGCATGCTGTAGCTGTGCCCTGCATGCCGGGGTGTTCAAATTCAAGTTCCATGCTGGACTATTCAAGTTCCATGCTGGACATTGTTTTTGGCTTGACTATTGATAGAGGGAGCATGAGAGTCCTCTCTCTAATGTGTATAGCCTACCCTCTTTCCTGTACAATAATACTACTACCTACAAGATCCAGCTGCAGAAGCTCATAGACAATTCTAAAGCATCCCCAAAACACCCCTATACTCCAGTGCTCTTCTCCTGGTGCATCATAATGACAGGAGTTGCAAAGAACCAGAATTCTAAATTACAAAAACCCGTAAGTTTCCAGAATAAATATAAGTGACCAAGATCTTCAAAGTCTGAGATGTCAAATGGAGAGGCTGCATGCTATGGGCTCACTGTTTTCACAGAAATACTTTTTACTGTTATAATAAATGTAAAGAGAGCATGAAAATATGACTGAATGAGGGGCCACTAACTAGAAGAGATTGAGAAACACTGCCATAAAATAAAAATAAATAAATAAATACATATTAAATAAGTATAAACATAAAAGTAAATATCAAATAAAAATAAGTGAATAAAGGCAAATATAATGATAGGTCTTCAACTTGTGTAAAATTACACAGCTACATTGACTTTACTATCAGTTCATTCCAGCTGAGACTTGGCTTATAAATTCTATATACTGATACATATTCATATGGAATTGAACATCCCAAAAGCAGGGGTGTTGAATTTGGAAAGGATACATGGGAATATAGTGAAGTATTCTGTAGTAAATGGATGTGTATTATCAAGATTTCCAAGGATTACTCGAATGGCTTCCTGGAAAATTTAAAAAAATGGAGAAATATTAAGAGACTATGCAAATTACCACTACTGAAGATATTAGAATAGACAGCTCAAACTAAGGTTTCCAGGTGAGAAATGTTTTCAGTTACATGAAGTCCAGTAGAGTTCCTAAAGCAATCTACAGTCCAAGAAATGTTCTGATGAGCTCATGCATGTGCAGCTGAAAAGGTAAACCCCACACAACAACAGATTAATTCATCATAGAGCTGATTTAAGATACCACTGTTGAATCAATGCAGGGACATTTAATAAATCTAAAGAACTAAGGTAATGTGATTTTAGATTTCAGACCCCCCTTCACCCCTTTTTAACTAGAAAACCATGTTTAATTCCCCCCCCCCGAAAAAACTTTTGCAAGGTATTTTATATATTTTTCTAAATAGTGAACTAACTAGTCCTTGCTGCTTACAGACAGAAAGTTTTCTTTCTGCTTATTTTATGAACCAAATTAGCACTTTTTTTAAAAGGTAAAAAGGACTACATCGTCTGTCATAAATTTCTGAAAAGAGATGCATTTCATCAGCAGAATTACTAATGCTATTAGTGGGCTCAGAAGCAAACAAGATTAAGCAATGAGAATAGATCCCCCTGTAAGGAAAGGCCTTTCTTCAATTTAAGCAAATTTAAAGGAGGAAGAAATATGCTGTTGTGACCCAGCATGCTCAAAGAACTTAACTTTGGTAAGAAAATGTAAGCTTTGTGGGTGATCTCTTTTACTGGACCAACTGCACAGTTGGAAAGTTTTTGAAAGCCTGTCTAAGCCTATCTCTACCATGCAGTTGGTCCAATAAAAGATCTCACCCACAAAAATCCTTTCCTCTCACATATTTCCTTGACTATCATCTTAAAACATCTTTTCAACATGAAGACAATGTAAGCTGGTTGTGTTCTATTTCTCTAAGAGGAAAACTTATTCAACTTAGTGAAGCTGTGTATTGTGTATGAGTAGAGAAAGCTAAATATGCATTTGGTTGCTTGTTTTAATACATTTTTCTCTAAGGGCTGGTTTCAAATACTAAGTAAGAATACATTGTTTTAAAAAAGCTGTGGACCAATATTGCTAGTCATAGGCTCCTGGACAAGTGCTGGTTTGACTGGCTTTTGGACACCTGCAAGGCAAAAATGGCTGCTACACACTAGCCTAGTCCCAGAGTGAAAGCATGGAAAATGTTCACTTCAAACCTAATAAGGGTAAGAGGCCCAAGCCAGAGTGGGTGCCTTCAAAAAGGTCAAGATGGAAAAGTACCTCCATAGCCTCAGCATTTTATATGTATTAGGCAGATTTAAAGCAGATTTTGAACTGTATTTAAAGCAAATTTTGAACTTCAAGATTGCCAGGCTAGCATTTGTATTTGGACTGAGCACTTTAAAGTGAAAGATTTGTTTCAACTACTTAACCCCTAGAACACTTTTTCTTTTAGGGATATTGGTATTTCGTTTGTTAGAATACCATTTGCCCCATAATGAATAGGATATCAAAATGAGCACAAGCATTCTGCTTCATAACCTACCTCTAGTTCCAAGGAAGTATTTTCACCAGTGCCCATGCCATCACTGCTATGAAACCAAAAACATAATTATACGATGAAAAACATGGCATTTCAAGCACTGTACTTATTATTACATATAGGACATTATCACTGTACATGGAGAGCATGCAGCAGAATCAGATGAATTCTTATGAAGGTCAAGAATCCAACAGCCACTGTAGTTCTTGATACGTTGTCCACACAACTTCTTCTCTGGGGGCTAAATCTTATTTCATAGTATGCCCCTAAGTAGCATTTATGTAGTCACATTAACTTCATTTTTTGGCACTTATGTACAGCTTGCATGCTTTTTCCATCTATGGAGAAATAACATTTCCCAACATGGATACCTGCCAGAAGTAGAACAACAGAGGATAACCTTCTCACCAATAAGCCCAATAACCTATGGTGAGAGCTTGTGATTAGGGGGCACATCTACGTGTGTAATTAATGTGGTCAAATAAGCCCCAAAGCTTATTGCTCCAGAGTTTTTTGCTCTCAGGTGCACTGTTTGAATATGCACCCAAGAAGAAAAAACTACAGAGCAAATTACTCCAGAGTTTATTCGTTCACACCACATGGAGCTTGGTTGGAGCAGTCCAGGCTGGCAGAAGACCCAAGAGATCAAACTGCCAGCCAAAGGCTGGGCTCCATGTGCTGCAGGGGGGCTGGCTGGGGTTCGGGGTGCCTCAGTGGAGGGCTAGCCAGAGGGCAGGCAAACCCAAGGCTGCTCCTCTGTCACAGTGTCCTGTGGAGCCCCCATCCTGAAGCACACTGTGCCCCAGCCAGGCACAGATTGCAGTGTGCCTCAGCAGGAGGGTCTGCAGCACATGGAGACAGGGGACCAGCCCTGGGCTGACTGCTCCCCTATCTCCATGTACTGTGGAGCAGCTGGCTGGGGTGCAGGGTGCCTCAGCATGGGGACTGCCTGCCCACTAGCCCTGCACTGAGGCACCCTGTGTCCCAGCCAGCCTGGGTAGCATCTACACATGCACTGCTGAACACAAAAAAAATCCTCCACAGCAGGGTAGAACTTGTATTTAACAAGACTACCCGCTGCAGTTTATTAGTTTTATGAACCCTAATAGGGCTTCACATGTAGATGCCAAGACATTTACTGTGCAGCTAATTGATCAACTGAGTAGTAAACCTTTTGTGTAGATGCATCCACAGAGCAGGGGACTGAGGTGCAGGGCCCTACTTATCTAGAGGTGGTTTTAACCTATACCTCCTGCTTCCCAAAGGGCTCTGTACCATTCCTCTGAATTTTAAGTTGTTTCTCATGAAACACTCCCAGGGCTAGATCTAGAAACTGCCCATGCATCTCACAAAAGTCCTGGAGCCCCTTGAAGTCATCCATGAAGATCAGTGTAGTAAAAGGACTCATGGCCTGCCCTGGGGAGAATGAAGTCACAACACAGATCTGCTACCCTTCCTCGCTACCCTTTTGTTGCCTCTCCCCTGGCTGAGGCCAAATCTGGATCATCTGAGATGATATAATTTGCCTTTCTGGTAAATGAGAAGGTAGTCAAATGCAGGCTTTTTGGAAGGAAGTTTCACACTCCAGGTGGGCTATCAATAGGGTCACAGCTAGAAGGGATACAAAATGCTGAAGTTGGGGACATACAGTGAAATGAGTCACCAGTCTGTCTCTCACTTCTCAAGGATTCTGACTCTATGACTGGGTCAATACTGGGCTTGAGACAAACCACTACAGGTTCCCCAGGTAAGTGTACAGAGGTCTTGTATTTAGATGTTGCCCATTTTCCAGTGACAAGTTAAAAAAATAAGATATTTCCTCCAACTCTGCTTCTCAGAAGGGTTGAACTATTTTAGCTGGATGTTTCCCATTAAAGTCTGTACAAGGCACAACATAGAAGTTTTACACTTAAAAGCACTTAAATTTTGGCAAAGTCATACACATCTGAAAATATCTTAGACTAGAAAATGTTAGGCCATCTGATCTAAAGGCATACCTACCACCACCCACACCACCAACAATAAATAATACCTGCAGACATGCTCAGGTTTTGTGGGACAAAAGAAAAATATTTCAAAAAGTTCAAATTCCTTTCTCCAGCCACTGTTCAGCATATCCAGACTAACTTGCCCAGAAAATGACTAATGCAGTTTGGGTTCCTTGAAAAGGTTGGTATTTATGGACTCTCACAAAAGGCTTGATTTAGACCTTGCAGCACAATACCCACTTAATGTAGTTCCATGCAGTTGTAGGCTAGGGCAGGAATATTGTTAACTCCTAAAATTAAGAATCTACTCACCTGATATTGCCATATCGGATTTTAAATTTATATACACTTTTGCCTGCATGAAGAAACCTTGTTTCAGGCCAGGGGCAGGTAAAAGGTTTTAAAGACATAGTCTTCAGAACACCAACCTAAATAACAAGAAAATTAATATTGAAATATTAAAGCCTGCACCCATAATCATATCTGTCATAGCAGGCAAAAAGAAACATTACATATCACTTGGACAGTAGCAATTCTCAACCAAAGTGATGCAGAACACAGGAGTGCCATGAGAACCTGCTAAGGGTGTCCCTCAATTTTATCACTGTTAGATGCACAACTGCCTACATACGATTCAAGAAATAAACCCAGAGATTTCAAATAGGAATCCATAGTATCAAAAAGATTCTGACTTGTAGTCTGAGTTCTTTGCAAGAAGAAGAGCTGCACTATTAATTTTTTTAAGTCAAAGAACTAAGATCTGGTAGCTGGCATTTTCCAAGGGGTGCCTTGAATCTAAAAAGATGGAGAACTATTGCTTTAGAGGAAACTGTCAGATCTGTATCCTGACATGCCTTTACCTTAACCTCATAATTCTGCTTATTCTTTGAAATTTAAAGCCGAGGAAACAAATGCCAGCAAAAGGTAGCATCACCTGAACATATAAAAAGAAAACTGAACAAAAAGGAACAATGGAGTGCCACTACAGCACTGTCATATATGTATTTTGGTTTTTTTACAGGAATCTGAATTTCTTGTCAGGACCTACCATTTAATATTAGTTTGAGTCAAATATCAGTTATGCACTCACTGATTCTTGCCTGAAACATTAAAAGAACTGATTAGTACATGAAAATTAAGTTTGATACTATTCTGGGTTTCAATTTCTGTGGTTTTAAGTGCTACCGTATCAAATTGGCTAAATACTTGACCCGTTATTCTGATCCTTGTTGGCCAAGATATGTTCTGGCAGTGACTTTGAGAGCTCAATTTACAATTACCAACTGTGACAGGTCTCATGGCCACAGGGGCAACCATGACACCCCCTAGTGGCCCTGGAGCTCCTGTCCAGCTCATACTCTAATGCCACTTTCCCTAGATTGCTTGCCTTGCTCTTAATATTAAAGGTTGATTAAGGGAGACTGCCAACAGGCCTCAGAGTGAAACTTACTTCTAATAATTTCACACTGGGTCTCTCAATCCAGCCCTCAGGCCTGATAGGTTCCTCTCAGCCTGACTAGACCCCTGTTCAGGGGTTAACATAAAACAAAAGCCACTTGCCTGCAAACAGTCTTTCTCTGCCTAGGGAACTTGCCTCTGTTCCCAGGCCTGCTATGTTGTTTAGCTAAATCCAGGTCCCTTCAGGAGCCCTACAGCCAGGAGCTCCTCACTTTGTGACTGTTGGGGAGAGACTCCCTGACCAGTGCAGGCTCTGGGCTTATATAGGTCCAGCCTGAGCCCTCTTGGGGTCAGGTGAGTCCCTCATTAGATCCTCCTTGCCACCTGCAAGCAGCCTCTCAGGCTGCTTGCTCTCGTAAAGGAGCGGGCACATCTCAGTGCCCCACTACACCAATACATTAAAAAATTGCCAACACTTGATACTGTTTATTGGTGCAGAGGCTAACATTTTTTGAGTCGTAATCTCAGAAAGTCATCTGGACATCTGAGCATAAAGTATTGATAGCTAGTCATCAAGAACCATGATGCAAAGCATCACAATTTGACAGAATCCAGTTTGATTTCAACATACAAGATCAAGTTTGCTGCCTAATCTGGACTCATTATTATTTGCGATGAAGAAGGGGTAAGAGAAGGACAATCTTTGATAATGAAAAACTCTGGTAAGTCACTTGTTTGGGGGGGGTTGTTTTGTTTTTATTTTTTGTTTTTTCAATTCTGATAGTCAATGAATAATCCTCAAAGCTACATTTTTACTTACTGGGTCTTTACTGACTGACCTTCTGGGGAATCAAATCAAATATGAACTACATGACATTTTCCCCAGCCCTTGGATCCTTTCTGTGGCTCTCCAATCCTGCAACCCCACTGCTGTGTTTTGTCCCACTGTGGGCACTTCAGCACCCTAGAGAGTCAAGAGGAGAAGTGCCATGCCTAGAGGGGCAGGTGGGCAGGACAGCGCAGTGCAGCCTCAGGGGCAGCGGGAAGAGCAGCTGTCCACAGTCTGCAATGTGGAACATGGATGAGCACACAAAAGAACCATGCAAGGTGCCCAGAGCCACTGTAGCTGCCCAGGGCAAAGCCAGCCCTGGCCCTCCCACCTGAAAGGCTCCTCCCGGTTTGGCCCAGCCAGTGGAGGGAGTGGCATATCCCAAGGTCACACTCACAGGGCACCCTCCACCATGGGAGGAGTCTGGATGCGGGGCGGCTGCAATTGGGGGGGTGGAGGCGAGGGCGGGAGAGGAGAGTTTCCTTTGCAGAGCATGTGAGACCACTTGGCTATGACTCCAGTCGGCCCTCCACTCTTCCCTGCCCGAAGCATGGTTGAAACTGAGACTCAGATCATCATCTGCTAGAGTCACGGACACGAGATCACCTTCACCATGTGCAGTTGGTGCCGCTGCTCCAACAGCCATACAAGGGCGTTTGACCGACTTCTGTCTTCCTTCTCCAGATGTAGCTATCTACCTGCACCTATCCTGAGCCAGGTTTTCACTAGGCCTTGGACCCCCTGTTCTGCTTGATGTTCATTTTGAAAAATTCTTGGCCCCCAAATCCTCTGTAACACCATGACATTCTCATTTCAGGCTATTGCCATGTTAAAAAATCACTCAGTGATTCTTGATGTCAGAAGTATTTTTTCCTCTGGATTTTTTTTACCCTGTTTATTCCATAGAATCATAGATAAGTAAGGCTGAAAGGGACCTTAAGAGGTCATCTAGTCCAAACCCCTGCCTGAGGCAAGATATTCCCTATCCAAACCATTCTATACAAATCCACTGTCTAACCTATTAGCAAATCTACACAATCAACCCTGACACAATACAGGACATAACACGCTAGCCTGCCATGGGTAAAGCAGGGAGAACAGCAGCCAATATCCTGCTTCTGTAAAACATTGTTAATATATGTTCAAAAGATCCTGGGTAGAGGGCCATGGCCCCACTACAGAGTAAGGCAAAAATCCCCAAGGTCATACCAATCTGACTCTGGGGTAAAATTCCTTCCTGACCCTAAATTTGTACTGAGTCCTTTGTGCTATTAAGGTAGTAGAAACAGACCTTCAGATAGCTGTAGATTTCATAGATTTCATAGACATCAGGGCTGGAAGGGACCTAGGAAGATCATCGAGTCCAGCCCCCCGCCCAAAGGGCAGGAAGTCAGCTGGGGTCATAGGATCCCAGCAAGATAAGCATCCAGTTTCATCTTGAAGGTGTTCAATGAAGGCGCTTGAACCACCTCCGGTGGCAGGCTGTTCCAGACCTTGGGGGCTCGGACAGTAAAGAAGTTCTTCCTTATGTCCAGCCTGAAACGATCTTGAAGTAGTTTGTGACCATTCGACCTCGTCATCCCTTGGGGCGCTCTGGTGAACAAACATGGATTGTTCCATGATACCTGCCAAGGCCAGCTTTATTAGCACTTCTATACAGGCAACCCCACTTAACGCTGTTTCACTTAGCACATGTTCACTATAGCTCTCATTTTAAATTGATACCCAATTCTACTTAGCGCTCAGCAAGTTTTGTTATAACACTGGCAGGCATTGTACAGCTGGCACTGAAACTGACAGTAATCCTGGCAGCCCTGATTCTGGTGATTTTGGTGGCTTTCAAAAGTGATTTTGGTGGCTTTAGAGTGATTTTGGTGGCTTTAGAAAGTGGAAAGTGAAAAGTGAGAGTTGGTTTCACTTAACGCTCAGTTTTTCAGGAACCAATTAAGAGCGCTAAGCAGGGGTTGCCTGTACAAAAATATCACGGCTTCTAACCTACAACCTTGTTATATCTCGTTTTAACCAATAGTTTTCTGCTCATGACTATTTAAATAATAGTAAAAAAAAGGGAGCTCTTTGTATAGTGAGTAGGGCTTCCTTCTAGAAAAGAATAAAGTGGATGGTCTCTGCTGTTACCAGACTGATGCTTGAATGCAGGGTGCACCTGATCCAGCTGGCCCTGGGACCAAGCCATTGCAGCAGGAGTTAATGTGGAACCTGACACCCATTTTTATGTGAAGCAGTGATTCAAAAACTGAAATTCAGGCCCTTCTTGCACCTTACACTGTGAACTGCACAAATGTTGATGAGTGTTAGTGCTACCTCAGTTTTGGAGCAGTCACACTGCAGGCCAGCAGGGGCCTGGAAGACTGAAAGATAAGAATCCATCCCCCCATTCTGGGTTCCCCCCCTGCTTCCCCCACTCCCCCCAGCCCTGGCTTTCCCCTTGTCCCTTGGGGTGCGCCCCACTGCCTCCTGCCTTACTTCCTTGAGACTGGCTTCATTTTCTGTCCTAGGGGAGCAGGCAGGGAAGGGTTAACCTGCCTGCCCAGCTCCACTGTTGCCAAGTTCCTGTTTTTCTGGCCCAGAGAGCAGCAGTGCTGGCCAAGCAGGCAGGTTAGCCCTTCCCTGCCTACTCCCCTAGGACAGACAACGTGGGGACCCAAAAGTAAGGAGGGAGTAGGGTAGAGGGAAGTGAAGGGATCACGGGTGCTGGGGAGGATGGGAGGGGGAGCAGGTGTAGTCTAGGTGGCTGCCCCTTAATGCAACACAATCTGGGTAGCATGGATCAGAAATAATAATAGAATCATAGAAAAGTAGGGTTGGAAGGGACCTCAGAAGGGCATCTAGTCAAAGCAGGACTGACCCCTAGGGCACTCCACTTGATACCACCTGCCTACTAGAGATCAAGTCATTGACTACTACCCTCTGAGCCTGGTGATCCAGCCAGTTTTCTGTCCACCTTACAGGTCATTCATCCAACCCATACTTCCTTAGCTTGCCTAGCAACTTCCCTGGGAGCAAGCCCCCCCAGCTGCTACTCTGCCACTCTGCACTCCTTTCCTGCCTGGGTGCAAAAGCTCCTGCAGGGAAGGTGCAGGCTTCATGGGGAGCTGGGAAGGGAGGGTGAGGTTCTCCACCTCCATTCTGATGCCTCTCCCTTAGGCAGTGCGTAGGGCATTT